CGGCGGCGGTGGGGCCGGGCACAGGGGGCGCGGGCGCGGCGGGCCCGGGCGTTGCGGGGCCCTGCGGGGTGGTGTCCGTGTTCCCGGGCACCCGCCTCCTCACCATCGGCGACGCGAACGGCGAGATCCAGCGGCACGCGGAGCAGCAGGCGCTGCGCCTCGAGGTGCGCGCCGGCCCGGACGCGGCGGGCATCGCCATGTACAGCAGTGAGTGCGGGGCCGGGCCGCGGGGCTGCGCACGAGGCCGGCGGCGGGGGAGGGGCGGGCCGGGCCGGGTGCGGGGTGCGGAGCGCCGGGTCCCGGGGACACAGGGAAGCGCGGGTGCGCGCGGTGGGCGGAGGGGCGCGCGCCCCGGGCAGTGCGGGGCCTGGGGTTGGGGAGGGGGCCGTGGACAGGAAGTGGGAGACCGAGCGGGGAACGGGGTGCCGAGGAAGCTGGGCAAGGGGACACTGGGGAGCGGGCGTGGCCGCCCGGGCTGGGTGTCTCTGGGCATCTAGGACGCCCCCACCCTCAGATAGTTGGAAAGTGGCTTCCAGCCTGGGGCGCTCGGGGGCCCCCGAGTGGGAAACTTGGAGAGCTGGTCATAGGGCTCCCCGCGAGGCGCCCGACGGGTCCCCGCTTCCAGTGGCCGGTGTAGAAGTCGGAGGTAGCAGGACAGCCACCTCCCGCACCGCCACGCGACTCGCGTCTCCTTTTTGGGGATGTGAGAAGCTGGTTATGTTCTCAGAAGCTGCTTTCGAACTGACATTTCGGTGGGAAGGGGAATAAAATCTCAAATGTGTCTGCCAAGTTCCGTTCCTTCTCCCTCCCTCTCTCCCGCCCCATTCCTTTTCTCTTGTTACTCTTTGCTGGTCTCTTCCCTGATTCTTCCTTCACGTTTTGCTATTCTGTTTCACTCGGTTTGGTCTCCTGGGGTTTCCTGTAGGAACGCTCTGGGGATCCACGGAGGAGACCTTTACTAGCTTTGGCCTTGTGGGAATTTTTTGCCACTTTGGGTACCCGTTGTCCACGAGGGGAAAGTGGGAACAGCAGGTTCACACGGGGTTCTCTCCAAGCCTTGACTTTGAAAACACAGGCTAAAGGAATGTGTCTGTTGCCCAGGTGAGACACCTTTGGGGGCTGGGGCAGAGCTGGTCTCCTCGGAGCAGATAAAGACAAGGAAGTACAGTGTCTCTTCCCCCAGGGAATCGCCTGGGTTTGGGGGAGCCCAGGACCCCATATCCTAAGCAGGCCCGTTCTTTTGGCCAACATTAAGAGCTCTTCTGGGGTTTTCCCTAGAAAGAGTTCCAGAAAAGTTGGTTTTCTTCTTAAACTTTAAGAAAACATTTTAAGAACATCTTTAAATTTATAGGATTGTTTGAAACAAAGTATAGTCTCCAAATACCTTACCTTCTGTTTCTCTGATTCTTAGTTGCAGAAGAGTTTTGACTTTTTTTTTTTTTTTTGGATTTTGAGACAGGGGCTCACTATGTAGTTTAGGCTGGCCTTGAACTCACTCTACCCCAGGCTGACCTCGAACTCATGGCAATCCTCCTGCAACAGTCTCCCAAGCTCTGGGATTACAGGCATGTGCCACATGCCTTGCCTGAGCTTTTACATTTAATGGTTTCTGTTTTGTTGGTACTCATGAAAGTGGGATGGGGGTTCAGCAGGGGTGAGCAACACTTGTCAGTCCCCTGTACCTCAAAAAGAAAAAAGCAAGAAAATGATAATCATGAGCTGGGCGTGGTGATGCATGCCTGTAATCCCAGCCCTCCAGGCTGAGGCAGGAAGATTGAGGCGTTCAAGTCCAGCCTGGGCTACGTAGTGAGTTCAAGGTCAGCCTAAAGTACATAGACCCTGTCTCAAAAAATTAAAAAAAAAAGGGCCAGAGATTTAGCTCAGTGGTTTCGCTGCCTGCTGTGTAAGCACAAGGACCCGAGTTCAATCCCTGGTACCAAAAAAAAAAAAAAAAGATAATCATGAATGTTACAGATTTATACACACAGGTCTTCTATGAGAGGTAGTTCATAAATGAAAGGAGTGTAAGGAGGAGCAAGTCCACACTTCTCAAATGGAAATCCTCAAACCTGGATAATATACTCCCAGGGAAGATTTTTCTTCCCCTTTATGCTTGAGTACCATTGGCATGGGGTTAAAACATGGGCTCTGAAGGTGGCCAGGGGTGGGTGTATTCATTTTCCCTGACTGCTCAACGTACTACCACAGCCTACAAGAGCAGGGATGTGTTCTCTCTTAGCTCGTTGCCAGAAGTCAAATCAAGGTGCTGGCTGGGTCCCCTCCTGAGTGAGAACCTAGGGGAGGCTCCTCCCTGGCCTCTTCCAGTCTCAGGTGGCTCCAGGTGCTCCTTGGCTTGTGGCAGCAACACTCCAGTCTCTGTGTCTGTCTTCATAACAGCCCCTCTGTGTTCTTGTCTCTTTTTTAGTACTGTACTGGAATTGAACCCAGAGCCTTTGCACTGAGGTAACTTACCAGCCCTTATCATATTTTGAGATGGGATTTCACTAAGTCCCTACATTGCTCAGGTTGGGCAAAAACTTGCAAACCTCCTGCCTCAGCCTCCCAGGGTTACAGGATTACAGGTTTGTCCAACACTCTTGGCTTTGTCAATTTTTTTTTAATGACATTGGGCTGTGGCTTAAGGGCCTACTCTAAGTGTAGGCTGTCATCATCCCAAAGTCTGTAACTTAATTACACTGCCAAAGACCATGTTTCTAAATAAGGTCACCTTCTCCTATTCCAAGGTTTAGGACTTCATGGACATAATCATTCTTGGATCATGCTGTGTAGGATAGTCTTGTGCCCTGCCACTTTGCTAATTGTGGGATGTTGTGCCTCAGTTTCCTCATGGCTAGTATTGGGGAAATGTCACACTCCTTTGGGCACCTTGCTTGGTCAATGAATGAACATCTTTTGTGTGTGTGTGTGGTACTGGGGATAGAGCCCAGAGTTGTTTTTGTTTTTTTGGTACCAGGGATTGAACTTGGGACCTTGTGCTTGCAAGACAGGCACCAGAACCACTGAGCTAAATCCTGGGGCCCCCAGCCCTTTTTATTTTTTATTTGGTACCAGGGATTGAACTCAGGACCTTGTGCTTGTGAGACAGGCGCCAGAACCACTGAGCTAAATCCTCAGCCTTTATTTTTTATTTCGAGACATGGTTTTTCTAAGTTGCCTCAGCTGGGCTTATATTTGTGATACTCCTGCCTCAGCCTCCTTGGCAGTGGCACCTGCTCCCCTGACAGGCTGCAGATGCCCTCAGAGTGGGCTGGGCTGCTGCTCTGCCAGGATATAGCTGGAACAGGGTGGGAGGGCAGCAGAACTGTTCTCAAGTGTTCCCTGTGACTGCTGAATCCAGGGCCAGGGTGCGGGGCTGAGAGCTGGGTTGGTCCGCAGTCCCCTGGCAGAGTCCCCAGGAGAAGCTCGGGCCTTGCCCTGGATGAACTTCCTTTCTTGGCCCAGGCTTTGCCCACTTGGACCCTCTGAGCCTTGAGTGAAGGGGCATTAGCGCTCACTTGGTTGTCCGGAGGCCACCAGGCCGTGGGATTTACATCTGTATGTGCAGGCACGTGGTGGAGGCCAGGACACAGGCACACGCCAGAGCCCTCAGTGTGAGTCCTGGCCCAGAGGCCTTCATGAGTGCCTGGCACTGCTCAGCTGGGTGGCCTTGAACAGCCATTTTGTCTCCTGATTTCCTCATCTGTAGTGGCCTGCAGCCTCAGTTTCCCTGCTTTGGGAATCATGCCCCTAGGGCCCCAGAATGTGGGTGAAGTTGATAAGTTGTATGTGGTTGGGTGTCCCATGTGTAGCAGGTGTTGGATAGCTGCTCACTTCTGTGTGGTAGTTACTGACAGTGATGTAACTTGGGGTGCAGGGAAGAGCCAGCTATGCTGCAGTGTCCCTGTGCCCCCCACAACAGGAGAGCTACTCCTGGGCCCCTTCCTTGGGCTCTGCTCCCTCCAGTGGGAGCCCTGGCCTGGTCAGGATGCCTGGAGCTGTTACTCTCTGCAGCCCTCGGAGCCACTTGAAGTCACCCTGGCCTTCATCCACAGGCCTGGCCAAGTGGCAGGCAGCTCCTGGCCATTTCCCTGGGCAGAGGTGCAGGCCCTTTGGCGTGGGCGTCCAGGTCCAGGCCTCGCGGAAGCTTTGGCACGGCCTCTGCCGTTCCTGGACACAGGTGCCCTCCCTTAAAAGGCGGCAGCTCTTGGGAAAGCCTGATGGGTGGCTGGGACAAGACAAGCAGACTCTCAGTTCCTTGGCCTAGTGGCATCCTTTCTGGAGATGACTGTGTTGTTTTTCTTTCTTGGTCAGCATGAGTCAGTTTGACCTGGGCTCTGGACTCTCCCCGGCCCCTCGGCTAGGAAGAGACACAGCACACTGTTGCTACCACTGTGCTGCCAGGGCTGGATTTCAGTTTGTAGAGGGCACGCTATGGGGTGGAAGGCCTAGGAATGACCCTTCTTCGGAAGAAGGGGAAGAAATGGCCAGATGTGATGGCTCATTCCCGTAATCTGTAGCCTTGGAGTTCAGGAGTGCTGCACACACCTGTATGGTATGTGGTTTGGCAAAGGAAAGGTGGTCAGGATCCTGTGTGTCTGAATAACAGAGGCCCAAATTGATAGTGGCATGAACAAGATGGCATTTTTGTGCTCTCATGCTTAAGGAGGTTGGTAGTTGCCCAGGTCTCTAGGAGTCATGTGGAGGGTTTGGGGACTTCCAGGCTGCCCCCCAAAGAACACTCCTAAAATGAAGTGTCCTCTTTATGGTTCATCATGGCTGCTGGAGTCCACCCATCACGCCCTGACTTCCAGACAGCAGGAAAAGGAAAGATTAAAGGAGGAAGGGTGCAAAGGGCTTCCATCCCATTAGCAGGAATGTAGTTCTGCCACTGCTGATAGCCTCAAAGGAGAGTGGGAAATGTGACCTTCAGTTGGGCAGCCATGTGCTCAGCTAAATTCAGGGCTGCTTTTCCTGGGGGAAAGGAGAATGTACTGGCTGTAGTGGATGAGATATGGGTTTGGCCAGGACATTTGTGGGTTATGGAGAGGTGCTTAAGTGGGTGCGGGGTGGGACAGCCACCTGGTGTGGAGCACAGGGTCCCCTGGGCGACGCGCAGGACAGGAGCTAACTGGGAAGCAGGTCTTTTCCGTGCATCTCCCTTGTGGTCAGAATAGCACCCCTGTGTGCAGGGGAAGGGGATCAGAATG